AGGACTAAATAGTTATCTGGATCTAATTCTCAATGTTTCTTCACTTAACACCTAAGCCTGTTTTAAACTACGCACTATCCTGTAATATCTTTTCTTCCGACCACTGCCTGCCTAATTTCATATTCTCGAGTTCCATTGCCAAACAACAAGGATGACACTTCTCCGAAAAAAATACGGTGAGTTCCAGCTATAAGTTTTCTGCAATCATAAGTTCATTTTAGATGGCTCATTCAATGGCACACACAATTATCTGGATTCATTCAGTTGTTCTGATCAGAGCGAGTCCCAAAAACCTCAACAACATCAAGCACCCTGGAAGTGATTGCCATACTGCATGTTTTATTCTGGATGCTTTTGGATCATTTCTACTCCTCACGAATGGCGTTATATATGTGGTCCACTGAATAATCTAATTTTCAAAAATAATCCAGGCGAGTTCAACTATTTTACTGAATGATTTTTTTGTACTTAACATGTATATGTTTTCTAGTTGCTTTTGCCATATATTTGTAAGTGTCACTAAGGTAAATGCAGTAACTTTTTATGGAAGGTTTATAATGCATCATATTCCTGCCTGAAGTTTCACAAGCAGTCTTAACTTTAAAATTATTTTTCTGGTCATGTTCATTATTTTAAATTGTCATATACGTCGAGAACCTGCATGTTAACCTGACCCGTACATACGTTGCACCATATCTTCATGTCTTCTAAATTTAGAAATAATCTGAATCGCCTTTAACATTTATCAATAAGCCCATCATAGTCGTTGTTACTTTACCTATTTGGGTTTATGGATTGGTTTATCATATTAGCAGCCTAAAATGCGAACATAGTTTAGATAATAAGATTAAAAATTTAGGTATTATCAACTGCACTAGTAAAATAACTAAATCCCTAGGTAGCTGTTGGCTAAACAAACGTTTAAAATCAAAACTCCGTACCCTACTAGAATTAACACTAAACGAATCTTTCGGATATAAAATTTATAATTAAACTAGGCGTCTCAGATTCTCTAACGTTACAAATTTCTGATAATTTTGAATCACCTAAAGCAACAATACCTATTTTCCCACTGACTAATACTCATTCAACACTATAACTAGTTAAACATAATAGTTTCAGGATATCGGCATAAAGCATTGTCATGACTTGACAATCACGTAATATGATTGATAAAATTAATGAAACTATTAACAAAATCGGTCAGCAAATTGACTTACGATTATCACTAGTGTTGTTTTTCTTTTAGCTTCATTCACTACAGATGATTACAGTATGTTTCTCTATCAGTTGCTCATTCAGTAAATATCTCAAAACCTTGTCAGTCTAATTGATGGTTTAGCGACACAATCATGCATGCAAATAATCAGTATAAGCAGCCGAGCAAATCTCCTGAAAACTGAAAACATCAATGTCGAATTTACCCCAACATTGACTAAGGTTCAAGCCATTATCATAGACATGAGTTGGGAGTGTACTCTCCCTGGTTACAACTTATGTTCTCCCTGATAATCACATGAGCATCACTCACTATTAATCATCTTGTAAAAACGTATTTAGCTAAATACATCTTGCAGCACCACATCACTTCGTAATATGACACAGGCCTAACTGATTTTAATAACTTATAACCACTATATCTCAATTAAATCGTATTCCGCCTTATGATAAACTACATACTTGCAACTAACTTGTATGCCCAATCAGCCAGCAAGTATAAATATAAATAAATAGTCTGCCATAGATCAGAACATTGAGTCTAGAGCATGTCTCTTACGAACACACTCATGTTTGACGATTTGTTCCTAGCTATCTGTCCAAAATTCATATAATTATCACTCATGTATTTAAATTTTATTTTGATAGCCATTCATGTATATTAGTAGTATTAATAAATTCTATCACGGTCAAGTAAACATGGGGTTTAGAAAATCTCCCCGTAACTAAATAAACCGTATCAAACTAACTGGAACACTAGTTGGAATTCTTCTCCACGGTAATACTTTTGTTCCTTCAGTTAGCCTACTAATACAAATGCAATAGGAATTCAACTCATATGGACAACTTACCGGCATAATCGTTGTTTGATTTCATAATTTAAACCAAAACTAATACCAATATTAACATTTCCACAACATTCATTACTTTAATATTTCTAAACATAAAATACTTACTACCTATATGTAAAGTTACTAACCAACGGCTATTAGCACGCATCGTTTTATTATCATTATTATTGTGATGCCATTCTTTATAGTTCAAATAATCTTCACCCAAATTTTTACTTCAAGCGTTTTAAGCATGAAGGCAGATATTTTAAGATTATTACATGTATTTTCCGACCAGATGCTGCCGTCTTTTTGATATATCTTTCAGCTTGTCAATACCCGGAGGATCCTTATTATCCTTGGTAACCTCCGGCGCGCGACGATCCCATCCAGTTTGGTATCGAACCAACATCACGTTGATTCTGGTGGGAGAGTAGTGTAGTGGCATTAGACCATATCCACACAATCTTCAAAGCTGAACACAACACTACTCAGAAAATAGATTTTCAATATTTAACACGGAGAAATACCTACCAACGGAGAAGGCGCGAACAATGAGTTGAATGAACTGGAGTTGATCGAGTGGCATGGCTCGGCCATGCAGGCGTGGTCTCTGCTGAATATTACCTTATATCTTTTATTCATATTAAATATATTGTTCTTTCTCTAGCCTAAGCTTGTTCTTCATCATGTATTGGTAGTTGTTACGATACAGTGAGTTGGTGTAGACGATGTTGTGACTTCCACGTAAGATCTTATAGATTAGGCAGTTATATCATGACAAATCTACAAATTTAGGATTAGGTCTATTATTAGAGCAGTAATTATATCATAGTAGACCATAGTTCTACATGTCCCCTAAAACATATGGTCAGCATCCAATGTCGAAAGCTTACAGAGCTATTTATTTTGGGGATTTATTTACCACTACAATGTGAAACCGTAAACAGAAAATTTCTTTGTGTCAGCTCATTGAAGATATATTGGTTATCATTGGCTTATGTTTTTGTTTCTTTCAGGACATCCATGCATTGTACAAGACTATATTCTAAGGTGGAAATGCGTTTCTAGGCAAACAGGAAACGGTAACCGTGGGATTCGCTGCTGACCAGAGTAAAACAACAGACAAAACTTTGTGGCGCCTCCACAGATAAGTAAATTAGTCTCTTAGTGGTTTCAAGCTCCGATTTTACAAGTAATGAGTGGAACACAAGCACTACACTCCTTTGTATACAAGAGACACAGAAGCGACCTTAGTTTGACCCACTCATGTATAACCAACCTGTTTGTCGTGGTGTTCAGCCAGATGACCACCCTTGATCGCAAGGGGAAGGTTGAGCTCATATTCCATGACTTCTGAAAAGCTTTTGATACGGTCAGTCTTATGTGTCTTGCCAATAAGCTCAGCCGATTAAATATCAGATCACGTTTATTTGATCAGCTTACTTACTTACTTACGTACTTACTTACTTACGCCTGTTACTCCTAATGGAACGTAGGTCGCTGACCAGCATTCTCCAACCCACTCTGTCCTGGGCCTTCTTTTCTAGTTCCATCCAATTCTTGTTCATTTTTCTCATGTTTATCTCCATTTCTTGGCGTAATTTGTTCTTTGGTCTCCCTTTTTTCCTTTGCCACTCAGGATTCCATGTGAGGGCTTGTCTTGTGACGCAGTTGGGTGCTTTCCTCAATGTGTGTCCTATCCACTTCCAGCGCTTCTTCCTGATTTCTTCCTCCACTGGGATCTGGTTTGTTCTCTCCCACAGTACGTTGTTGTTAATAGTGTCCGGCCAATGGATCTGAAGTATTTTGTGTAGACAACTGTTAATAAACACCTGTATTTTCTGGATGATGGCTTTCGTAGTTCTCCAGGTTTTTGCCCATACAGTAGAACTATCTTGACATTTGTATTGAAAATGCTGACCTTAGTGTTGGTTGGCAGACAGTTGTTTTGAGTTCCAGATGTTCTTCAGTTGTAAATATGCTGCTCTTGCTTTGCCGATCCGCGCCTTCACATCTGCATCAGATCCACCCTGTTCATCAATGATGCTGCCCAAATACGTAAAGGTTTTTACATCTTCCAAATCTTCTCCGTCAATTGTGATTGGATTGGTGCATGCTGTGTTGTATCGGAGAATCCTGTTTTTCACTTTGTGTATATTGAAACCTATTGCTGCTGAGGCTGCTGCCACACTGTTCGTCTTCTCTTGCATCTGTTGTTGCGTTTGGGATAGAAGGGCCAGATCGTCTGCGAAGTCTAGATCATCCAACTGCATCTTAGATGTCCATTGTATCCATTCAGACGTTGGCGTCTTCATGATCCAGTCGATCACCAGGAGAAAGAGAAAGGTTACTTCATATCTAAATAATCGACAATTTAGCGTCGGAGTAAACTTCACTTTTTCCTAGTTTACGGGATACCTTAGTTGGATTCCTCAGGGTTCAATACTATGACCTTTTCTTTTTTAAATTTATATTAACAATCTTACACAGCAGGTATCGTTAGATTTATTACTTTTTGCTTATGATGTGAAACTCTGGGGGGAAGTTTGCAGTTAGGAGGATAAATTGGCACTTCAGGAGGATAAGACACGAATTCACAGTTGGGAAAACAACAACAGACTTACTTTTAACACTTTGAAGTAGTCCGTTTACGACATTTTGCAAACTATGAACACATCTGAGTTTAACCCCTCGACGGATACCCCAAGTTGAAAAGGTCTAGGTATATTGGTATCTCACTGTCTGAAGTCTTACGCTGGTTTTTTCCTCTTTTATCGTTAAACTTACCTAGGTTCTTACATAAAGGTATCGATGATCCACTGATACTGGATAAGGATGTTCGTTAAGTAAAAGGTTCTTCTTTTACGTTTAGAAACATTTAAAGCATTGGGAATTGAATCCAAGTTCCTGGCACTTTTAAGGTATTCGTTACGTCATGCTGTAGGATTTATGGGAAAGAAAAACAAAAATAGGAGAGAACTATACCAGACGTTGGATAATTCTGGTAATTCTTAAACATTAAGCATTATTGGCTCAGGAGACAAGGTGAACTTTCGTAACGATGTAAAAGAAACTGTACCAGTTAAAGTATAACTTCTTTGGAAATAATTTTTAGGGTCTTCATAATTTAGGCAACACATGTTATCTTAATGCTGCTCTTCAATGTCTTGCAAGGAGTCCATGGCTTTTAAATCTATTGGTTGTCGATGAACCAAGAGAATCTACTCTGACTAAGCCTAATGGGGTAAACTTTAAAATCCTGCTTTATTGTTTAGGATTCAATATCTACGTTATGTGTTTCCCTACCACTAATGAAGTGCCCACTGACAAGTCAATTTAAGGAACTTATTTCTGTTTTAAAGCCTGGTGAACTTTCAAATTCCAAGATGAGCTCTTCCAACACAATTAGTCCTGGGGTTTGTTCTAGCAACTAGTTCTAGAATTTCCATTTAAGATGTTTCGAAATGTGTTTGTTGAACGTTGTCCTCGATTCAGTGGATTTGGGCAACATGACAGTCATGAATTAATTCGTGCTCTCCTGGACTGCTTAAAACAAGAAGAACTTGCACGCTGGAAGAAGGGTATTTTACTCAAGCTCAATGTTAACCCAAAAGTTAGTCAATTATTTAGCTTAATTAGCAGAATTTATTCCGCATAAACGTGTCCGTGTGTAGGGATTTCTCTCAGAGTTCTAAACTTAGCCTTTTTTGATCATTCAATGTATAATTATAACGTCGTAGTAAGTCCTTATCTTGATGACAAACACTGCATTCTTATTCAGAAGTTTTCCTATAGACACTCATTCATTAGGCCTAAGTTATTGATCCGCATTCTGTAGTGCGTTCTTCAGTATGGCGACCAAGATTTTAATAGGAGGCAGTTGTACGGGGCGTCGCTTTGTGTAGTCTCACTCCACAGACGACTTAGTATGAAATAAGCTGCGGATATCAAATTTCATCTTCAAAATCTGCCCAGACTTTCAATGCTTAGACCACACTTGCTAATATAATAGTTGCATCACTTGACCGCATGTTTTAGGTCATATCCTGTTTTCGCTTTTGAAAGGGAATTATTAGTTAATTTAGATTACGGCTGCGTCGCACAAACATCTCTGTACCCATACATTAGTTTTATAAATAAACAAAGATCGTCTGCTTAGGGCTTACCATGACCGTGCGTCAGTCTGTCTAGTCATACATAATAAACATGACGCAGTGTGGTATGGAAGTTAAAAAAAAACCGAACTTTATGAACATGGTTTGTAAAGACAGTTGGAAAGTATGTATGAGATGATGCTGTAATTCGAAATCGAAAGTTAACGAGTATCTGCTACTGCACCATTGCGAATTTTTCCGAACCATGTCATTTAACGTCTCCAACTACTGGGATAGATATGTAGACGGATTTTATCGTATTTTTATTATCGTTTTTAAAGATACCTGAGGGTTGGTTTCAATGAGTCTGTTTCTACCAAATCCAAACACGTAACTTGTCGCATTGTTAATCAGGCTACGAAACGAAGAAACGTCAGAGGACAGACTAATCTTATTACCTGATATTGTGATTGACAGTTGAATCCAACGTATTTCCATCTAGAGTACGAACCATTGTTGCCTCAAATTATAGGAATTTGTTGATCGGCGGCAATGATAAGTCAGTCAAAATGTATTGATTTGAATGATCGATTTGCTTGTTTCCTATCTAGTTACAGCATACATGGGCAAACGATTTTGTCTAGATTAGTGTCGGCCATAATTTGAGACTGATTATCAATCAGTGCAATCATTTATTGCAGCTTAAGTTTCGTATTTTTTGAAATACAGAGCTAAGTTTCCAAAACATTGCGAATCAATGTTTTGACATCTTAATGAACGTACTTACGAATCTATCCAAGTCGCATGGCCACAGCCACCTTTTTCTCTACACATGTTAAAACATTCTGTTTTCACTATGCAACCTACTATCTTTTCTGTGCTAAATTTCTGTGCTTCTGTCTTTTAGTTTAAAAATGTGGTTTATTGAAATGATATGTCACTATTAAATTCCCGATGCGTATAGGGAATATTGGGCCCTTTATCTTCATGTGTGTCAAATATCTTCACGTTTACCTGTTCACCCAGTAAATAACGTCACCTGCAAAAATAGTGGGGTAAATACAAAATGCGTATATGCTCCACTTGTTTAGTTGGTATCATGGAATTATTTAACCAAGTGATAAACATCTTAATCGAAACTACGCTTTTATTATATGAACGGCGTTATAGTGACCAGCATTTCCTCTCAATCAGTAGTTTAATGTAGGGTAGTTACACGACGAAGAGATTATTTTTTAATGAAACACAAATTGGTGGTAAAATATAAGTGTGCATAACTTTACGAGAAGCTGTAAGACACTAATGCTTATACCTTGTAAGATAAGAGATTTCAAGTTCGGACTTCAACTTTACACAACAATTGAGATTTTATTTCTTCTTCACTATATAACAGGATGTTCGTGATGATGAGAAAGAGTCTATTCGCAATTGGGGAAAAGCAGCTTCAATAGCCACGACTGTAGATCGACTTTTCGGTGGGATTCTTGTCAGTACATTACAGTGTTGTTGTTGTGGTACTGTTCGCCCTAAATTTGAACCATTTTTGGACCTTTCATTGTCTGTTTCTCAAAACAATGTTTCAAAACACAATATAAATGAATTTGTGTCTAAACAGCATTCTAAAGGTTAGTTTACTAAGTGTTTGAGTCCAAATTCTACTGCCATGTCCAGTTTCTATACTTTTTGACTGTTAAACAGCTGTCAGAACAAGAAAAATCATATCACAAAATTTTCTGTCACAAATCATTTGATAGGTGGACATTTCCAATATAACAGATGATCTCTCTATTTTAACTTGAAAGTGGTTTTCATTGGTCGGCGTCTTAATGAGTTTAGTAAGTGGTATACACTGCAGAGTAGTTTGGGAGGCTCATTCACCAGGTAGTCAAGTGTATGTCACGCTCTATCAAGCTACAGTTCCAGTCGGTAAATGCAAACTACCTGATTGGGATCCATTCAGTAACCGCGACCTCTGGTTGAAGAATTTGGGCAACATGGATTAAAATTGGTCAGTGCGGCGAAAAACGCGTTCAGTATCGTTTTATGAACCTCACGTTCCAGTATTCCTTCATACATACCTTTCCACTATGTCTTCTTGAAGAATGTCTCGTTTTTCTTGTTAGCATTGCCGCTATGAATACTCTGATTTCTTTATCATTCATCTGGCCGATCTTTTCATTTTGTCTCATAGGTGCCTCCAGTTCCAAACAACTTCGGAAAAAGGAAGTAAGTATATTGTTCATTTTAATTATAAAGGGAAATCAGTGTACTGAGTATAAAAATTATGATGAGTTTTTATTACCTTGTCGGAAAAGACAAGAAACAATCCAAGGGGAAGAGTTTCCTTTTCGATAATTTCATTTACTTAAGCTGTACAGTCGTAATCATGGTTAATTTATTTGGTCAGAATAATAGTCTATAATAAAACAACAGAATAATTAAGATTTATTTATTTATTATTTTATTTATTTGAACACATAAATATTGGTTCAAAGGGGCACGGAATACATATGCGCCACACAAGTCACTTGATTTGTGTGTGGGCTGTGATACTGTCCGGGTGACCAGACTGAATCAGGTGGTTTCCTTAGGGGGCCACACTCAGAGCCTTCAACTTAAAGGTCTAATCCACAAGGGAGTGGAGCAACGTGAGAAAATACAGTCCCGTGGTAGCCAGTCACCAACAATTGGTTCATACGCCATTTGTTACTTCGGGATTCTGGAGTGCATATGAACCATTTGTTTGGAATGAGAGTTTTCCAACTCCCCTAGGTGAATCCTCCACATCAACAAACCCGGTTTAAGCCCCTGTCTGATATTCGTCTTCGTCCTCTCAGTTTCGTAAACAACACCCATGATGCGAGAAGGCAGTGAGTAGGACTTCCTTGAGAGTGGCTGTATACGCCTAGTCATGTGAGAGCATTTGGAGAGGGAGAGCTAACTCTCCCTTGACATCCACCAATCAAAATACGACTAATACAATCTTAGCACTGTGCCAAACCAATAACGTTCGACCGGTATGAGCAACCTAGTGTCCTTATTGGTCCTATGTCCGCCTAGCCCTTCCACTTGAGTCCAGAACATCAATACCAGCTTCCACTATGCGAATCGAATAATTTATTTCAGACATACTGTGTTTATATATCAAACAAACAGACCGCAACGCACCATAAAATAGGAAATAACATTTGTATACAATAAAGCCAAAAAGTGACTGAACGTGGGAGACAGTAGTTAATAAACTGAGCATAGATTAGTGACAGTAAATCGTACAATAATAAATTATAGGTCAAAATAAAGCTTACAATAAGAAGAATATAAATATACATAATCTAGTTGCTGAATAGTTATATAATTAGAATACATAGATAATATTAGTCCATTAATGAGTCTCAGACGTTACTCGTACTTTAATCTTCACTAGGATATAACAGGATTAGGTTTCTCTTTTGTTTCAGTGGGATCCAACTTTGAAATTTAGTATACTAGCCTTTCCATATTGGTTTTTTGTACATTGATATTTGTAGCGAGTCATTCGGTTACATTTTTACGAAGCATCTAAGAAGTGGACTTCTAAATCCGACTCTTTATTATTTTAATATTATTTTCAACAAATTATAGCGTAAACGTAAAACTCAAAAACAACGGAAACGTCAAAATTTTATGCATGATCATCAGTCAGATCAGGAATGTCTAGATCAGTGCAGTTCAGATTCAGATAGTCGAAAAACAAAACATAGTGAACATTCACCATTGGATACATTTATTGCAATGTGTTGTGATGACGTAACAACTCCAAATGTAGATAGTAAGCTAATAGAGAACGTGAACGGGGATCTTGACATAGATGAGAACCAATATAAAGATAATAATGGCAACAATGATGTAAATAAGAATGGGGAGAATTCGCCCAATTTGAATGAATGCGAACTTTCAAGTGAGTAAACGTTTTATTGTTTCTTATGTCTTTCTATTTTTACGTGTTGAATTTTTATGAATCATTCGTAGTTTTTTATAGAATGGATTTCACTACGAAACTACATCTTTTTAGGGAGATTGTTTTAGAAAGAAATGAATTCATTCATAGTGGTCACTTGTATTTGTAATCAGTGAAGTTGATATTTTAGTGATTCTTCAGTCAGTCAGTCAGCTACAACGTAGGACCAGACAAAATCATTTGAAACCGGGAATCATTCAAAAGAGAATGGGAAATGCTTCGTACAAAGTGCATGGGACTTTCTGAACGTGGATTGGACACTTCAACCAAATACACAGAGAAAAAAGAACACTAAACACAATAGATACTCGAGTGAGTCTTCCGCTAGAGAATGAGAGTTTTCCAACTCCCCTAGGTAAATCCTCCACATCCACCAACCAGGTTTAAGCCCCTGTCGGACATTCACTTTTCGTCCTCTCAATTTTGTAAACAACACCCATGATGCGAGAAGGCATTGAGTAGGTCTTCCTTGAGAGTGGCTGTATACTCGTGGTCATGTGAAAGCATTTGGAGAGAGAAAGAGTTGACTCTCCCCACCTTCATCCATACTAGGGGATTTGGGGGCTGGATCATGAAATGTACTACTGAAAATTAACAACAAAAAGACTTCCTGTTTTAACTTATTCACCTAACGTTGGTTTATGAAAATTAGATACTCTATAGTAGTTATAAGTAGTTTATATTTTAATGCATAATTTCTTCTGTTTTATTGATTAATTGTAAAACAAACCATTTTCTGTTAGGTTGATGTGATTTTTTTGTTATATTGAGTTGTGATAAGTTTTCTAATTGAACGCTAGATTAGGTTTTCTAAGCTCTCCTAGTACCCCCCCCCAGGTTAAATCGACACAGTGACTTGAGCATAAGAGATCCCCCAAATGCCCTGGTACGGCCGAGGGTAGGGAGAGTTAGCTCTCCCTCTCCAAATGCTCTCACATGACTAGGCGTATACAGCCACTCTCAAGGAAGTCCTACTCACTGCCTTCTCGCATCATGGGTGTTGTTTACGAAACTGAGAGGACGAAGACGAATATCAGACAGGGGCTTAAACCGGGTTTGTTGATGTGGAGGATTCACCTAGGGGAGTTGGAAAACTCTCATTCCAAACAAATGGTTCATATGCACTCCAGAATCCCGAAGTAACAAATGGCGTATGAACCAATTGTTGGTGACTGGCTACCACGGGACTGTATTTTCTCACGTTGCTCCACTCCCTTGTGGATTAGACCTTTAAGTTGAAGGCTCTGAGTGTGGCCCCCTAAGGAAACCATCTGATTCAGTCTGGTTACCCGGTTAGTATCACAGCCCACACACAGGTCAAGTGGCTTGTATAGCGTTTGTGTATTTGGTGCTCTTTTGTACCAATATTTATATCTTCAAATAAATAAATAAAAATGTACATTACTTATACTTTATTATTAATGATAACGTTTTCTTAATCCTTTTAGGTGAAACATTAAATCAAAGTTTTTGTGATGAAGTGGCATCATCAGACGGTAAGCTGTTTACTTTTTTTTCTCAGAAAAAAGAATTCTAATTTTTGTATTTTTACATTTATCCATTGATATTCACATCTTTTTATTCAGCCCCCGAATGCCCTGGTACGACCGAGAGTGGGGAGAGTCCGCTCTCCCTCTCGAAATGCTCTCAAATGGCCACGCGTATATAGCCTCTGCCAGGGAAGTCCTACTCACTGCCTTCTCGCACCATGGGTGTTGTTTACGAAAATGAGAGGACGAAAAGCGAATGTCCTGCACTTTAACCGGATTCCAAACCAATGGTGCACATGAGCTCCAGTATCCTACGGGAACAAATGGCGTATGAAACAATTGTTGGTCGCCGGCTTCCATGGGACCGCATCTCCTTACGATGCTCCACTGCCTTGTGGATCAGACCTTCAGGTCGAAGGCTCGGGGAGTGGCCCTCTAAGATAACCACCTGCTTCGGTTTGGGCACCCGGGCAGTATCATAGCCCTCACACATATCGAATAAGATTTGTGTGGCGCATATGTATTTGGTGCCTCCTTGTACCAATATCTATATGTTGAAATAAATAAGTAATATTCTCAGTATCCAAATAATATTTAGTTAGTCGTTAGGAAATTAAGTTCCTTGGCATGATTGTGTTGCAATCGATCGAATTTATTGTAGTATAGTTACTAGAAGTTAGAAAATGAAGTAGCCTATTCTATCTTATTTTGTAATGTGCTTTTGAATTCAAGTAACAATGAACCGCTTAAAAAGGTCTTTTTACAGAAAACAAACATGGAATGGCTAACTAACCAATTTCCATAACTCGGTTCCTTTACGAAGAAAAAGGAATCTTATTCACTCTTCATGTTACTGACATATGTTGAGGAAGGACTTGAGTTACTCAGAAGAATATTGGCTGAAAATGGCTATTCAAGCTACTTCGTGAAAAAGATTATGAAAGAAAGTTGGAACAAAGAATTCAGAAATTCTGTTTCAATGAAATATCTTTATATGAATCTGAAATTTAAAGGTGACCAAACCTCCGATATATTCAAATATTATCTATCAACAGCTATTAAAAGAAGATTCTGTGCGGCAACTGACATTGATTAGCAAAAACTTTGTATCTGTATAGGATAAATTTTCTCATCTGGTTTTCTCTATGTGCATCTACCAGTTCATCTGTTCTTGTGAAGCAAGGTACCATAGGCCATAGTCAGCAGTCAATCTCAATTCAAATATGAGGACACATTACAGTGTAGTTCTGCAAAAGTAAGAAAAAAGCAGTTTTAAGTTCTGTTCTTGAACATTTAATCGATTCGAATCATTCTACTGATCTGCAAGCTTAAGGTTTTCGTATTCAATTCCTTAAAACAACAGAAGGGATTAATACTGAAATTTCATACTATATATACGATTTTTACCCTTCGGACTGCCGACCAGGATTCTTCAACCAACTCTAACTTAAACCCTCTTTTGCAGTTGTTGATTAAGTGCTATTCATTCTTTTGATGTCTGCTTCCAATTCCCGGTGTAATATGTCCTTTGGTCTGTCTCTATTGTTTTCGCTTTGAGATTTCCAAGTTCCGACTTACCTTGATGCAATTTGATTCTTTGCGATTTTTTAATGATAAGACATGTGGCGATGATTTATGGTTCAAATAAAACCTTAAAAATAAGATAATATGAAGACACGACAGTATGAATATCTACTAACTGTACTATGAAAGTATAAATAGTAATCCTTCATATGATCATCTCACTAATCATCTCGTTATGTCAGTCGTATACTTTATTTACTTGTTCTTTCGTCAATCATCTTAACATGGATACAAATTCAGACATAGTGATTTATTCAGCTTATTTCACAAACTTGTTTTAGTTAGACAACCGTTTAAAACCAGGAGGGACTGGACAACTGTTTTATCGTAGTGTGGGACTTCTCCGTGGTGCCCATCTACGACCTCATTATAAAGGATTTAAGCCCTAAGAGCTTCAGGTCTCACGGCTAGCACTTGACATTCAAATAATTGAATCGGCATCCAATGGCTAACATTCCTAACGTCGGTCAATTTATGATATTTTACATCTAACATCCAGTGATACTAGTAAGTAACTCCCTCATGATTGACATGATTAAACTCCACTGATTACCACTTTTCACTAGGACGTCAGTAGTTACGTCTTGTGAGGACGGCTCCTAGTGAACTGAAGGAAGCTCTGAAAGAAGCGAAGACATTCCATCCAATCATCGTCTGGAAGTACATTCCAAAATCTCGACATATAGCTTCCCCATTAGAGAGATGCTCAAAATCACTGCCTACAAATTGGGTGACTGTAATGATTATTTCGTTTTTACTAAAAATTACAAGTATGCGAGTGTTTTGTGTCATATCTGATACTTCTTGGAATAAGATTCCTTTCCACTCGTCTTCTGTCTTTTAAATTACGACTTTTTATTTTATTTATTTATTTTAACACATAGATATTGGTACAAGGAGGCACCAAATACATATGCGCCACACAAATCTTATTCGATATGTATGAGAGCTGTGATACTGCCCGGGTGCCCAAACCGAAGCAGGTGTTTTTCTTAGGGGGCCACTCTCCGAGCCTTCGACCTGAAGGTCTGATCCACAAGGCAGTGGAGCATAGTGAGAAGATGCAGTCTCATGGAAGCCGGCGACCAACAATTGTTTCATACGCCATTTGTTCCCGTAGGATACTGGAGCTCATGTGCACCATTGGTTTGGAATCCGGTTAAAGTGCAGGACATTCGCTTTTCGTCCTCTCATTTTCGTAAACAACACCCATGGTGCGAGAAGGCAGTGAGTAGGACTTCCCTGGCAGAGGCTATATACGCGTGGCCATTTGAGAGCATTTCGAGAGGGAGAGCGGACTCTCCCCACTCTTGGCCGTATCAGGGTATTTGGGGGTTTCAAACGTTTGAGTGCTCAAGTTGTACGCAGTATAGCAAAAATTTAACTTTTAGATATAATGTGTCTGATGATAAGTACTTACTACAGTTCGTTTTCTTTGTTTTATGGATGCTTTTGTGATTCTATACTTTCCCTCTACCTTCAATTTGACTTATTCTATAGTCTATTTATCCTTTTTGTTACTTATTTTTTTATGAAGGAAATTGTGCAGACGGTGAAGGCAGTGATCGATGTGATAGTGTTGCATCACTACAAGTTATTACAAATGGCTGTGATGAAAATTTACAACAAGTAGAGATGAATAATACCAATACGGAACAGATTACTTATGAATTAGAAAAGTTATGCTTGAACACAGTTCCATCGTTTTCATGTGATTCCGATGAACTAAATCAAGCTATTCATTATGCACGAATCCCACTTGGTCAGAGTAAAAGTATCAACTCAACAGAAGATGGAGTCACATCTATTTATGAATGTCTTTCAAAATATACTTCTACTGAATTATTAACAGGATCTAATCGGTTAATTTGTGATGTATGCACAAAACGAAATTCATTAGATGAATTGGGAAACAATTTGACTAGTGAAACAATGAATAAACAAACGTCTAACAACAACAACAACAGTAACAAGCCAGACATTTTACAAGATGTTATTAAACGTGATTTAATCTATAAGCCTCCACCAATTCTGACAATACATTTGAAGCGATTTCAACAGGTAAATTATTCTCTTGATAGTAGGAAAAAGAAACATTGGTTTACGCTTAATACGTCTGATACTTTTGGTGGAGTTTTATTCTCTGAGCTGAATGGTTTGGTCGTGGAACTTTCATCGTTCTTCTGAACGACATCATCAGCACAAACTTTAGGTAGAAGTGAAGTGTTCGAATTTCTACACATGTGGTTCACAGCTTGTCCTGTACATCTCGACGTCTGGTACTTGAATGTTTGATGCTAATCAATTCATAGCCCTTAGGCATTTTCCACACTTGAATCTCGATAAGAATATAAAAGACTGGAGATATAAAAAGATACTACATCCATGGTTAGTGTAAGTAGGAGTACAAGAATATATATCCTCGATAATTTAGAAATGCTATACCCTGCTTTTCCAATCAGTTCCCCCACATTTACATCAGATCCCATTTGCTTATAAGTGATGCTGCCCAGATATGTGAAAATTTCTGCCTCTTCTAGAGCTTCTCCACTAAACGTGATTGGGTTGGTGTTCTCCGTGTTGCATTTGAGGATCTTAGTTTTCCCCATTGTGTTTTCTGAGGCCTACTGATGCACAAGATGCTGCTACATTAGTTGTCTTGACCTGCATTTGTTCGTGTGTATGAGATAGAAGGACCGAAGTCCAAATCATCTACTTGCATCCAAGCTGTCCATTGTATTCCGTGATTCCCCTCAGATGTATTTATTATTATTTATTATTTGAACACATAAATATTAGTACAAGGGGGCACCAAATATATATGTGCCACACAAAACAATGAGAGTGGGGAGAAAAGGGTAAGGAGCGTAAAGAAAAAAAGAAGAGGAACAATAACGACTAGATTAGTGTAAGGAAGTGTAATAATCATAATAATGGGGGGGGAACGGAAAGGTACAACCAGAAGAATTCTTTCAGTTAAGGAAGATACAACCACTTTTTATGAAGAAAGTAGATGAAGGTTACAGAAGGATCACAAACATAGAGCAGAACTGCTCTCACCGACGCGTTGTAGATCCGACCTTTTACAGCCAGACTGACATCACGAAGGCGCCAAAGATGGCTCACATTGACGTAAGCCGCTCTGGCTTTCACTATACATGCATTGATCTCATCACTCACGCCACCACCAGCACTTATGCAGCTACCTAGATACACGAACTTCTCGACTACTTTATCTGCTCACCATCCAGGATGAGTACAGGATTGGAATCCTGCCAGTCTCGTAGAAGTACTTTGCATTTCGAAGGTGTGAAGCACAACCCGTACCTACGAACATGTTTGATTAAGTGCGGATACCGATGTTGAGGTGTTCATAATCCAGTCGAAGAAGATTCCATAATGTTCTCCCATCTACACTGTCAAACGCCTTATATTAAATGAATTTGATGTATAGTGACGAATTCTGCTCGACTGATTACCCAACAATGATTCGTACTGTCAAGATTTGGTCTGTGCACGATTGATCCTTACGGAATTCGGTTTGTATATTTCGAAGTTGGGCGTCTACTGATCAGTACCATACAGACGTTCAACTATTAAGTTGCGCACCTATTTATTTCGCACTGAAACAAGCAGTATTAACATTCAGAACAGCTAACACTGTTAATTTAGTTCATTCACCAAGTACAGACTTGCGTACTTGGCTTGAAGATACGCGTTAAGTGTGAGGTATATTGTGAAACTGTAGTGAACAGAACACGGGTGGGGACAACTAAATGTACTTAACACAAAATTACAGGACTTGTAAATAGAATCTAACAATCATAAAGTAAATACTTAATTTGCAAAATGTCCACCAGTTGTCTCATAATGACTCAGACTTCATTGTTCTTGCATTTTCATACAAATTGCATTCTGTTTCCATTATTTACTGTTCGATCCTCTTGTCTCTCTGCTGCCAGACCTTCTGTTCATGACTAACATCATCTACTACCTATGTCAATATAAGTAGCACACACCACATTGGAACCTGTTGTTGAGAGTTATCTTGGATTCATTGAGTTTGTCAGTATCTCATGAGAAGTCTGTATCGAAGGTTTATGATGCTGTTTGTCCGGTTGTCCAGTGTTTGTTTAGCTTGAGTTTCATCTTGTCAGTCACAATCATATGGTGATGTGAAGCTATGTGAGCTTCGCTCTTGATTCTCACGTCTCACATTGACCATCTGAGTTTTTTGGTGGTGTATGTCTTATTTATCTGGTTGTGTGTAGTATGATCCGTTGAGACCCATGTATGTTTTTGTATGTGTTTTTGGTTGATTGTATTTCCACCTTTAACCATTTTGTTGAATGCACATAAATTTTTTAATCTCTCACCGTTCTCGTTCCTTTGTCTTAGTCCATATCGTCTCATGATATCCTCGTATCCAGTGTTGTCCATTTCAACATTGGTGTTTAGGTCTACCATCTGGATGGTCAAGTCCTTTCCTGGACACTTCACTATGACTGATTACAGCCTCATAGAACTGATCTTTATCGTCGTCATCGCTATCGTTGTTGGGTGCCGAATACTGGATATAATTCTTTGTGATTTCCTTCTTTGTTTTGAAGGATGCTTTCATGAACGTGGAACCATGAGATTCTCATTCTATAAGTATTTTTCGTGCTTTTGTATACAGCATCACTGCAACCTCCAGTATGTGCGATGCATTTTGTTCTTCATGATCAGAGTACAACGACACTTCTCCCTAAGCTAGTCTTTTCTATCCAGGTTGATTCAATGCGTTCCACTTATTCTGAGAACCGCCAAGTTGTATCTCCTCATTTCCACAGCTATTTTATTGGCCCTTTCATTAGTTCACATTGTCTGAACGTTCCATATACATATATAATAATTGTTGCTCTGGTTGTTTCAAGGGGTATCGACTTCTTGATTTCCAAAGAATCTGTGCTTTCACACTGAGGCGTCATAATTCTTATGAATGAAGATCTTTCAACTCGCAGAACAGTTCAAATGGTTTGAATTTTTTTATACCTAGGTCGTTTTATGTTGGCTGGGGTTGTTGATCCCATGCCCAACCCTCCTTTATCCAGGTTTGAGACAAACAGTAGTCTTAGAAGGGCTACAAACGAAATTATGTGATATATATGTATAATTTTTAGCTTTCAAATAAACTGAGGCTGTTTATACTCCTTAATGTCTACTTTGTTCCACATTTCAGGTCGGTGTTCAATTACGAAAATCTCAGAAACGTATTCATTTCCCAATCTACTTGAATATCACTCCTTTCTGTTCTGTACTCGCTATGGTAAATAGTTTTTTGTCATTTTTCTTTGATGATTATTCTTATAACCTTTGTTTGTTTGATACAAAAAATTACCCATCGTGTACATTTATATTTGTTAATACTGACCAAGGCTCCAAAATGCTTTGGTACGGCCGGGGGTGGGGAGATTTAGCTCTCCCTCTTCAAATACTCTCATATGGACAGGCGTATACAGTTACTACCAAGGGAAGTCCTACTCACTGCCATCTCGCAGCGGGTGTGGTGTTTACGAAATTGAGAGAACGAGAAGCGAATGTCTGGCGCTTTAACCGAGTAGGTAGGTTTGGAGAATCCATCTAGGGGAGTTGGAAAACCTTGACTCCAAACCGATGGTACACATGAACTCCAGGATCCTAAAAGAACAAACGGCGTATGACCCAATTATTGATCACCAGGTACTATAGGACTGCATCTCCTGACGTTTCTCCACTGCCTTGTGGATTAGACCTTTAAGTTGAAGGCTTTGGGTGTAGCCCCCAAAGAGAACCACCTGTTTTGGTTTGGGCACCCATACCGTATCACAGCTCACACACAAATTAAGTGACTTGTGTGGCGTATATGCATTCAGTGCCCCTTTGTACCAATATTTGTGTGTTCAAATAAATAATTAATTAATTAATATCAAATTATTAAAGTTATTTATTATATTTTATGGAATTATACTTTGTATTGACCGTTAATTATGCTATACATAAGTATTCTTAGAGATACTTATTAGGAAATATTACAGTTGCAGAGGTTCTGTTGAGCATTTGGCGGTAAACAAGATAATTGATTTTAATGGTGTGTGAACTGTTATCACTTTCTATCCTCCCATACGCTGTAGGAATATATTTTCTTGTGACGTCTGGATTAGTAGTGATTGTCTTGTCGACCCGGAAGCATGACTACAGAGTCAAATTTCATTTATTTTAGATTGGTCAGGTATAAGCAATTATCTCTTGTTACTTAGATTCACGTTGATGGGTTGATAGGCCTGTCACTACTGATGCAGCTTCTTTTCTTGACTACTCAGTAAGGTATTCCTTCCACGGTATTAGTAACAGGGTTATATAAACCACCCCTACACTTTGAATAGCGCTGAATTCTACAACTATAGACATATTAGTGTAGGTTGATCTCCTAACAGATCATTTCTTGTGGTTGTTGTTGTCCATTCAACGATCCTATGTAATATTTCATTATGATAATTAGTTTGATTCTTGTTTGACTCTGTGAAGTGCATGTATTATTTGAAATTAGTCTAATGAAATGTTATTCCTTTAGTTCTCTGTTTGTTTAAACTTTATTTATAGACTCATTCTAATCAAATTCGTTATCGTCTTTACGGTGTGATTGAACATACTGGACATTTAACTTCTGGTCATTATGTAGCTTATGTAACTTTACCAAAATCATACACTAATTATAATGATAATCAATCAGATCGTATAGAGCATCAATTCATTGGTTCATTGAATCGTTCACCTAAATGGCCTTTATCTGTTAATGATTTAATTCAACGTCTTCGTCGTTGTGATCATCATCAATTGTTATTGTCATCGAATAATTTTATATCTTGTACTCAAAATGGCAACAACACTATCAATGATTCAACAAGTCATAATAATGAAGTGGTTGATGATGATCATCATGATAATGATGATTCACGTCAATGGTTCTATTGTTCCGACAGTCATATAACACGTGTATCTCAGTCAACTGTATTGAATTGTCAGGCTTATGTTTTATTTTATGAACGTATTGAATGAAGAATATGTAGAACTCTTAGAAACAAACATATTTATGTATACTTTGTGAGTGTGTGTGTATATATATATATATATATACATATTACCACTAGTTACTATTCTTTCATAATGTCTCTTATGCGAAATGATGATTGTAAATAGTTTCGCTTTCCCCCCTCCTTTGTTTTTATACATAGGTTTTAGAGAAATATATCTTATGGGAATGAAAAACGGAATTTTTATTTTGTTGTTAGTGTTCTCGTTCTTCATAGAGCTCGTATGTGTTTGTGTGAATAATCTTAGTATGGACTACTTGGTGGGCTTATCTTCTCTCTCTCTCTCTCTCTCTATATATATATATATATGTTCAAAGCTCAGGTGAATATATGTTATCATTGTTAATCTATCGATGGTAGTCAACAGGAAAATTTACTCCGCATGAGTTTCGTTTTAGTTGGCACTTGTTAGCAATGCACACAAAAACCTTGAGGAGAATGGCACTTTCTGTACGATGCAAATTTGGACCGCTAAGCTTCATAGTATAAAATGTCATTCGGGCCGTGATTGACCTCTTGTTAGACAGAGATATTTACCAGTTGATTAATGATTGTATAGTGATTAATATCATGTTTGCGTATTCTTTAGTGCTGACAAAATTCGATCGACCTAGTTACTATTGTAATGCTTAACTTCAGTGAGAAGTATCCAGATTTAGATGGTGGTTGGAGGTAGTCAACAGGAAACCCTGGACCCGGGTTTCGTGCTACTTGGCACTCGTCAGCAAGGTGTACCTGTAATCTTGAGGGAACTGGTGCTCCCTGGCGGATTCGATCTCGTGTCACCCAGCTTTACAGTCAGAGACGTTACCACTGATCTATCCGAGCCGTGACTAACCTCCTGTAGCATTCGATCTGCACTAATAAGGACTAGACAAGCATGACATTGATCACCACTCAGTGATCAATCAATTGTGAGAAGTATCCAATATGATAATCTGTACAAAATACTTATTACCACTTATCTGTAGCTTCATTGAACAATAGACATAGACAACATCCTATCCCCTGCTTAAGATTCTCCAATCGATCCTTAGGTTGGACATTAAACAGAAGATTTATGTGTAAAATGTAATTAGGTCAACGACCAATCATTGATACCTGTTTCGTTCTGGGCACTCAAGCATTATATCCCAGCCCTCACACAAATCGAATGATTTTTTTATGGCACATATCTATCCAATGCCTCCTTGTATCAATGTTTATGTGTTTATATAAATAAAAGAAGAACTTACTATAATATTTACCAAATCGATCAATATGTAGAACAGTTTTCCCTAATATGGCAATCAGTCATTCTATTAATCCAAATCTATTCTATATCCCTCCTCTTTTAATGAAATAATATTGACCTATTTTGTCTATTAATAGATTGATTATGGAACCAATCAATAAATTATTGCTTCCTATCATATTTGATTGCTTAGTCTAATTGAACACCATTCCCCCCACTACTACTAACACCACCATCACCACCACCACCAACAATAACAACCAAAAAATAACAATAACATAACTTCAGGCACATATTTATTGATTGAAAAGTTAAATGGTTCAATGAAATGAGGTAAGGTGTTGTGGGTATATTATACAAAATAGACAAGTGAATGAATGAAAGTAAATTTATAAAGTGTATACATTGTTCCCTGTTATAGGTAGGTATGTAGGTAATAATGGGTAATGTTGATCGATAGATTAAAGATCTTTTTTCCTCTATTGTTTAATTCATTTAACATTTAAGAAAATGATTCATTAGTATGGTAGAATATTTAAGAATTTTTCACGAGACATTTTTTTAATGATTGCTCTGGTTGTTAGGAGGAGCATCGACCTCATGATTTCCGAAGGAATTCGGCTTTCACTATAAGGCGTCTAAATAAAGATCGAACTCCTTGGGGCAGAGTTTAAACGCTTTGAATCATTTTTTTCTGGTTAGCGTTTTTTTAGTGAGTTAGTTTTCTACGGAATGAGGTTGCTAACCCCATGCCTAACCTTCCTCCTTTATACGGGCTTGGGATTGGCAGTAACCTCAGAGGGACTCCAGGTGGAGTTTTGAATGAAAAATAATTCATATTATTCTCCATCTATAAACATAGCGAAGTGATTGAAGTTAGGAGGTTAAGTGTCTGTGCACGTGATCGATTTCGATCGGGTCGTGTATACACATAGTTGAGGGGGCCCGTATTAGGATGACTTCAGGTTCTAAACTGTCATTCAATCAGGATCAACCTGTCATTATAGTCTATAAATAGATGCTTTATTGTCGACATGGTGTGATCATATGACTATAGTCTAATTGTCCAATATTTAGGCAGTAGGTTAGTATATAAATGTACGAGGGTCCAAATGATTGTCAAGATTGTGTTTGTGACATCAATCTAATGTAGAGAACTCTGAATATTTTGAATATATAAAGATAAGTGAAGAGTGATGAAAATGTGTCAGAGTCTCAAAAACTACTGCGATCTCTTCATTCTTTTCTATATAGGTTACAAAATATATTAACTAAAAGAATGTAAAGACCAAAGTAGCTGAGGAGAGTACAAGGTATGATGTATCAATGGATTCGCGGATAATAAAGCTGATTTAAGAAATGTTAAAATTATGGATAAACGAAATTCTAAGAATGACGTGAACTTTCTAGGATCATGGGATTTCGTTCAATCAGTAATTAATACACATGTTATTATAGATCCAGTCCATCAATCTTTACAGAGAAGGTTTATCATTTACATCATCAGAGATCGATTGAACAAGACAGTCAACTTGAGTACTAGAATAATGAGACTTACGAAGATTCCCAGTCACAAATCAGGCCATCAAAATTAACTTATTTAACCTACTTACTTAAACGTTTTACCCATCATGTCGCTTCGATATCCGGTGGATTCAGTGGAGCTGGTCTATTCAAGAATTCCTCGAAGTATTCTACTCATCTTTTGCTCTATTGTTGAATCTCAGTGATTGGCTTGCCTTCTTTATCCTCGACTGGTGTGTCTGGTTTACAATATTTACTTTCTAGTTTATTTGTGTCACATAGTTATTTGATATTGCGTTCTCTTTGCAGCTTTTTCCGCCGTGGTTGCTGTCTTATACGTATTTCTGTCTGTCAGGCCCTAAAGCTCCTATTAACTTGTTCGTTTGCTTCTGTGTATTGAGTTTGTGACTTGACTTTCTCTGTTGTTGTTCGGCTAGTGGTTGCTAATTGCTGTCTTCTTGTTCTTCTTTTGTTGAATGTTGTTTGAGGTTTCGTTAGAGGTGCATTCCTTATGATGATGCTTGTTGTGTCCGAGAACCTCGTGATATGTTGAAGTTAGTGGTTGATTGATCCCTTTGCAACTGTCCTCCATAGTAGTTACCGCTTCTCCCAGTATATTTTGTAAGGGTTGAAACCTTTTGTTGAGAGTTATCTTGAATTGATTGAGTTTGTCAGTATCTCATAAGAAGTCTGTGTCGAAGGTTTGTGATGCTGTTTGTCCGGTTGTCCAGTGTTTGTTTAGCTTGAGTTTCATCTTGTCATTCACAATCATATGGTGATGTGAAGCTATGTGAGCTTCGCTCTTGATTCTCACGTCTCACATTGACCGTCTGAGTTTTTTGGTGGTGCAAGTCTTATTTATGTGGTTCTCTGTAGTTTGATCCATTGAGACCCATGTATGTTTGTATGTAATGCCACCTTTAACCATTTTGTTGAATGCACATTAATTTGCGAATCTAATTCTAGTCAATTTATAGCAAAGCATGATTTTTGATCAATGTTACACATGATTAATTGTAGCCTTCTCAGTTTAGTTAACCTCACAGTTTCAGACATTTTTAAAACCAGTCATCAGTGGGTTTATGTTATGATACGAACTTAGATAAGAGAATTGGAATCTGAATACAATCAGTTAGCTCAACGACATATTCATGAACTAAAATTGTACTATAACTTCAACAAATCTAAATCCAAACTCTAAACTATTGAGGAAACTGAATTTTATAGCCGGACGAAGAATCAGTGAATGTTATCTGCGTATATCTGAAATACATAATATGTACAGTGGAAACTGATATCGTGTTCTGCACTCAAGCCAACAGGATTGGGCAAGAAGAACAAATAAAGACTCAGAGTTGACTGTAGACTGCTCGTACTGGTTAACGCTCCACTGTTTTGGCTCAGTGCCAAGATCATATAAGTCAGTGTTATAATTAGCAATCTTATCATGTGGTAATCATCAGGTTCATAGGACATAACGCTGAAGAAGTTCAAATGTTTATTCTCCTCTTTTAATCGATAATGATAAAATGAAAGATTAGGGTTTATTGATACGACGTTATGCCTTGTTTTTGGGAATCGATCAGTCAATCAATTCATATTCAACATAGAACCTGGCACATATGTAAATCAGTTCATGCTGCCGTATTCCATTAGCACAGCAAGATGAAATTATCAAGGGAAATCCTAGTTTAGTACAGATGGCAACAGTATCAACAGTAATAGAAAAGATTAGGCTTCTAAGGTAAACTTCGAAAAGAAAACACTGATTAGTGGAAGATTAGAAAATCTATGAAGTAATCTAAAAACTTGTGACCTAAGAGTAATTTCAACCAGTTTCTAAATATAGATGTCGTTTATCACAGACTCCAACCGGATAATCTGGAATAGTCCATATGGTTTAGCACAACACCCAGTATCTTTATGGATTAATGACGAATCTTGTTTGATAAACCGTAGTTGTTTTCCAAATCATACATTCACCAGCCATCATTATCCATCTAGGTAGTCAATCGAAGGCTATACATGTCTTAAATACCTCATCAATTAATTTACCATGTACGACTAGTATCCTGCATCTAATCTCAGACTTGCTCCTAGCACGAAAGCCGGGTCCAGGGTTTCCTGTTGACTACCTCCAACTACCATCTAAATCTCAATACATAGTGCCCGCAGTGTCGAGTCACCTAGACTGGTGGCCTCATTGC